CATAAAGAAAGAAATGTGATTACATTGAAAGTGGAAACTTGTTAATAGGAACAAAAATATGTGAACAATTCATATTTACATGAAAGGTATATCTTGAAAGAAGGAACAAGGTGAGATCCATCTAGCAATGAAGGTGTAGAATAAGATGAGAATATTCTGTGAATGTTTGTAGTAAGAAGTTTTTTCTTGATTGTACTTGATACTTGAGATGGTTGAAATGTTTCCTGAGTCTTAGTGGGGGGTTTTTGTCTTTGGTATTCATTTAAAAAAGACTTTTTAAATTTAATGAAGCAGTTAAGCCAGTGTAATGGGTAACTGCTGCCAAAGGGGATCATCTTTCTTTCTTTCTTCTGCATTTCCCCACTGCTTTACATACACACATCCTGGCAGTTCAGGGAGCCAATTTTTCAGATGACTAATTGTTTCTAATTGTTTTCAGGGGAAATAACAGGACAGTGATGGCTTTTTGTGGAATTGGTTCCCATAGCTGTCATCATAGATTCAGTCTGACATAAGGCTGTGGTAGTATGGAGGATCACAGCAAGGGGCACAAGACTGAACCTTGTGGTGGCTGTTAGATAAGTTTTATTCTAATGTGACAAATTATAGTCTTTGAGCTTGACTAGCCCATCTAAAATTCTTGCCAGGAATTTAAAGAAACAGTCTGGAATAATTTTACAGCTCTTTGAGAACTTCAGAGGGGCAGATGATCTCTGAGGAGAGAGAAAAGGCACTAAACCATGCTTTAAAGCAAACAAGCAAAAAAAACCATAAAATCCCTCAAAAATTCCAACCCAAAACCTCATAACAGTCAACAGACTTTTCAAAAGGTGGAAGCTAGAGGTTACAAACAATTTATCTTACCCACAGTTCCTGGAGGAATAAGGATAATGTAAATTATTTGGCCCTGGTGATGACTTGGAAGATACTAATCTCTATGAACACCAAATAAGAGATTTTCAAGAACAAACCCCAGTTAACCCAGTTGAACTTTGTTTTGTGGCAGGGCACAGGACATAATAGATAGTGGTATAAAAAAGGCTTTTAATGGTACCGCTCTGTTATGCAGTGAATGGACTCAGTTGTGTAGTAGAAATAAATCTGCTTGGAAAACTATATGTAGAAATAGATGGACAAAATGAAAACATTTGTTGAGTTTCCTAGGTGGTCTGTCTTTAAATGCCAGGTGATATTTTCAGGAGTGACTGGGACTACAGTATCTACATACAAATCTTCATGTAATGTGAAGAGCAGCCAGAAAGTTTGATTAGGATTTGAATTTAAAATCATTCTGACAAATGATTGAAACCATTGCATTTTTAAATGGAAAGCTTTGGATTCAAATGAATGAGGTGTTGCATCTCGGTGGGAGTAATCAGCTCTGCAATCACAGTGGAGAATGACTGAAGAATAGAAACTGTAAGCTGTAGCATGTTAGTTAATAGTAGACATTTAGCATGCTTTCTTGTTAAAAAATTACTGCTTTTGAAGTTAACAATTGTACTTGATAGGTATGTATTACTGTCATGGTTTAGCATGGCTTGGTACAGAAGTGATTCTCTGTGAGGACTGCTAACAGCTTCCTCCAGACTCAACAAAACCAGTCAGCTGGCTAGTTTTGAATGTTGAATACTAAACCACTTAAGAAACCTGAGCATGCCTCTGTGAAATTACACTCAAAAATGAACAAACCCCAGGAGAAATTCTCCTGTTTCTGGCCTTTGAGCAGGTAACTGGATGCTGGCTCAGCCTGCGGCTCGGCTGAGATTCTGCTGCTGCTGCTGCTGAGCTCTAACCAGGGCCAGCAGGCCAGGCCAGCCCTGCTTGGCCTCAGCAGAGATCACATGGCTGCCCACAGGCCCAGGCAAAATACCAACTCTTTCAGTCAGGGATGAAACTTGTAGACATCAGTCCTCTCTCAAGTGAGAGAAAAGGCAAGTGTGAGGACCTATAAAGAAAACAACATGGAGACACTGAGGCCAGTGAAGGAGGAGTCAAATTCCAGATGGGAGGAGAATGAGGAGATGCCTTAGTCTTGGGCTGAAATTCTCTTGTAAGGCTATGGTAAAGATATAATTGATACATCAGACTCTTTTTTCTTTTTCCCTGTAACTCCTGGAATGCCCTGAGGGGATGTGGCATTCTAACCACAGCCATGAGCAGAGGCACCAGTGTTGGAGCAAGCAGATGTTGAAGTAGCTGTGATCCAATGAGAAGCTTGAACAGAGAGAAATGAGAGAGATGAGAAACCTTGCCCCAGGGATAGAATCATGGAATATTCTGAGTTGGAAGGGACCCACAAGGATCGTTGAGTCCAGCTCTTAAATGAATGGTCCATATGGGGATGGATCCCACAGCCTTGGCACCGTCAGCACGCTGCTCTAACCAGCCGAGCTAGTGTCACCTTTGTTGAAACCCTCTGTTACCAGAGATAATAGAAGAGGACTTTTGTTTCTGTATTAGAACAGCTCATCCTTAAAGTTGCACCCCAATAAGCTGAGATGACCCATGGTAGTAGTTATGGGAATTCTTCCAAATGGTGGGAGGAACTTCACAGTTGCAGATTTCTGGGTGGCTGCTATTTGTGAAAACTAAAACCATGAGAGAAGTGTTTGTTGTGGAAAAGTCTCCATGGCATGGCAGGAGAGACTCCTCTCCCTAAGTGAACTGAAAAAAGATTATTTTAGAAGTGATAAACTGACTGAAAATACCAAATTTTGAACCTTTATGTTGTCAGTGGTAAAGGAGGGAAGAGTTGGGGGGAGAAGTGTTCTGAAGGTTTATCTTGATTCTTACTCTTCTTCTTTTAGTTCTGTTAATAAAGTTTTCTTTATACTCTTTATACAAAGTTTTGAGCTTATTTTTGCCCTTCTGCTAATTGTTATCTCACAGCAGAAAATGAGTTAATAATTCTAGTGAGTGCCCTGGTGTTGGGCCAGCACTCAACCCACCTCAATTACCAGGAATGAGAGAGATGTGCTGAGCCACCAGCTGAGATAGTGAAGTTGGGGGCAAAGTTGCTCTTGTGGGTTTGTCCAAATAAGTGAAAACTTAAATGCATGGAAGCATAAGGAGAAGTTGCCCTTAGTTCCTTCTGTTTAGTGGAGTATCTTTTGAGGCAAATTGAAATTGATACAATTTCAATTAACAATGCAATTAACAAGCAGGTGAACTTTTTTCAGTGGCGGAAATCTCATCCAGTTGCTTTTTGTAATATGTGGCACTGCTAAGACTCTCTGATCACATACTGAGTATTTTTGTAATTGGGGTAAAAGGCAAAACCATGATTTGTGCTTTTATTTTAAGAATACTGTTAAGATTTCTTTAAATACAGGTAACTTTAACCCGTTAGTAGAGAACTATAGGCTACTGGTACCTACTAGTTGTGCCCATGTCAGAGATGAAACAGAGAAATGGGAATCTTAATTTAGTGTATGTCCTTTTCTTCTCTGAAATAAAGCAGTTTTTTGGTGTTATAAACACAAGCTGGGATAAATACACCATGAACCCTTAAAATTATTATAAAAACAGTAAGCATTTGCTTAACTAAAAGAACATTGGCTGTTATTATCTGTGTGATGCAGAATCCTACTGGCTATATGAAGATAAAGCTTAGTTCCCTGTTAGGCAGCAGGTTGTAGCTGTGTAATCCCGAAGAATTATTACAGTTTACAAAATATTGAGGTGTCTGACAGCAGTAGTTCAGTAAAAGGTAGAAAATAAGTCAGTTTGTCCATACCCAGGAAGGAATGCTGCCACACCTCCTAGGTGACATGTGTGTCTGGTCTTAACAAATGCTGCAGGTCAAAAGCAGTGCAGTGAGTTCTGCTTGCAGCTCTGCTATGCCTTGTTCTCATGACTGGTCTCTTTCCATGAAGAAGCTTTTTAACCAGGGGACAGATGTGAAATGACGTCTGCAGCTTGTGTGAAGATAGGCTCAAATCCTGTGAATTCTTTTAGCAGCATTACGTGTTAAAACACCGTTGAATTTCAGGCTGTGTCAACCTTGCAGTTTACAATAAAGCCTGTTTTATAACCTGCTTGATTATGTATCTTTTTCTAATTTTTAGACAGAGGAACTTAGTTGCCTTTCATGTACCAAAGTACTTAAATTGAAGTCAGACAGCCAAAGATAAGATCATTCAGATAAAGATCATACATTTCAATGTTGAAACCAACTATCACTGCTGCCCTTTTGCTACAGTTCCTGCTTTCAAGTATTTCAGTGTTTCGAGTATTTCTCAGCATCTCACTGAGAGATGTATTGGCATAACTATTGTAGCACTGGTTTACTGAGCACCTGGGGAGGAACAGAATAGAAACTTAGGAAACCAGCACTGCTAATAAGGAAAAAAATACCTTGTTGTATTGTTGGTAAACCACTTAAAGACATGCACACATCTGTGTGCTTTCTGTTAGTAACTGTATGAACCCTGCTGATACTACTCGCTGTCTTGATAGAACTATGGGGAGAATGGATTGCATTTTTACTGGTTTTTGATGGATTAGGAGAAGGAAAGGGAGGATAATGGGAAGCATTGCAATAAATGAGAACATCTTGAGGAGTCATTCACTAGGTAGAAATCATTGCTGTTCATTGGCAATGATGGCAAAGCCTCCTCTGTGGTTTTCTGACATTACTGGCAATAAATGGCCAAGGCAACTACAGAATAGTGCCGGAGTCAATATCTGTGTGCAACTACTTGTTATACTCTGTATGTCTAATCAGTCTTAAGCGTCTCTCTTAAGTCCGGGTTTGCGTGTCTCGGTGTGCGCGGAGCGCCGGCAGGCCTGGGGGAGCTGGGGAGCTGCGGGGCGGGAGGGGTGTGCAGGGGGACAGCGCCACCTGCCGGGGAACCTCCGGCCCGGGCAGCGTCCACTCTTTGGCTCAGGGCTGTGCAGGGAGAGCATTTGCAGAGAAATACCTCCTTCGACCTGAGCGAGGCTGAGTTCTGGAAATATTTTCTCAGGTTTTCGTTTCTTTTTTTTTTATTTTTTAGGAACATCATTTGCAGCGGGCTATCTCAGCACAACAAGTCTATGGAGAGAAGAGGGATAACATGGTTATACCGGTTCCAGAAGCAGAAAGTAATATTGCATACTATGAATCTATATATCCTGGAGAATTTAAAATGCCAAAGCAGCTGATTCACATACAGCGTAAGTAACTCATTCATTGAAGTCTGCATTGGTTCTGCTTTCTCTAGGCAGCAGCTGACAGAAGGAGAGGAGAGTCTTAAGCTGTGCCAAGGGAAATATAGGTTGGATATTAGGAAAAAGTTTCTTACAGAAGGAGTGATGGAGTAGTAGAATTGTCTGCCCAGGGAGGTGGTGGATTCACCATCCCTGGATGTGTTTAAAAAAAGATTGGATGTGGTACTTGGTGCCATGGTTTAGTTGAAGTTTTAGGGCTTGGGTTGGACTCGATCTTGAAGGTCTCTTCCAATGTTGTGATTCTGTGAGAATTTAATTTTACTAGTAGTTAAGACATTATTCATAAATGTCTGAGCTCCCATCAAGACCGACTGCTGAGAATTTATTTTTCAACATGTTGAAAAAATTCTACTTGATAAAGAAGTATGTTTAATTCTTGTTCAGTAGTAACAGTTCGGAGGGAAATTTAGATTTGTTAGCAAGCACAGATATAAATCTACTTAAAGAGGAAAATACATAATGCATACCTAAGAAACAGAATACCTGTTCCTGAAGCATCACCAGGATAAAATGGCCGTAGAGTGGACTGGGGAGCCAACCAGAAGTGACAATAGCAGTAGAAGTATTTGTCTATGCCTGGTGCAAGTATTCTTCATCTAAAAGCAGATGGGGTTTGCTATCACTGATGATTTCCAAATTTGTTGTGGTTTTGTTTTTGTTGGAAGATAGCAGCTATTTGCTATGGATATGACCCTTCGTGTGAGCACTACATTCCTTCAGATACCTTTGGAAAAAAATTATGAAAAATACAGTCTGTTGCAGAATTCTGTTGTATGGTGTAATAAGCAGAATTGAAAATGTAGTATCCATGCTATGTAAACATACTTCATGCCTAATTAACTTTGGTTAAATGCTAGACTTGTATGTCATTCTGAGCCTCAGTAATGGCTTAAAATATTTGAATTGTAGAATAGTGTGAGTTGGAAGGGACCTTTAAAAATCACCTAGGTCCAAACTCCCTGCAATGAGGGGAGTTCAACTTTATCAAGTGGCTCAGAGCCAGCCTAACTGTGAATGTTTCCAGGTATGGGCATCCAGCAGTTTTCAGGCAACCTGTTCTAGTGTTTCACCACCCTCATTGTAAAAAAGTTCTTTCTTCCTACTAGCAGTCTTCCATGCTGGTATTAAGGTTGTACTTTTCATTCTTATTTTCCTTATCTGGCTGTTCTAATAGCTGGAATTGTTAAGTTTAGTTGTCAATTTTAAGCTGCACTGTATTCTATTTGTTTACTAAAAATAGATATGTGTTTTCATGTGTGCACTTGGAAAGAAATTTGTGTCTCTTACCAGCCACAGCAATTTGAATGAGGCATGAGAACTAGGGAGTCATGTTTCAAGTGCAGTGATGCGTTTTCGTAGGATACCGTGGCAAACAGTTGTTTGCATTCTGCAAGATATTACTTGTATTCGGAGATGTTTGCTACATGGGGTAGATCATGCTGGGCCAGTGTAGTCTGACTCATCTACATCACAAAAATCACTGATGAGGATATTTTAAGATCATTGTAATACAGGCTGCACATGCTTTGCTAGGAGTACCTTTGATGTGTTTGGGCTGAAATCTGAACTGCTGATTGTACAATACATAAAACTCCAGAATGCTTGGCAGCATTGAAGATTTTAATGAATCTAAAAATGTCTTACTGAAGCAGTGAGGCAGTAAGCTGTTAGTTGGTTTGACCACTAGTAAATTTTCATTGGTAAACAAAACTATACCAAGTAGACGTCAACTTTTATGCCTAGTTTTTAACAGGGTAGTTTTTTTTCAAAGAAAAACCCTCAATGTTTACATCCATGTGGAAGTAGCATTACAAAATTCAAACAAATAATTTTGGTTTTCTCTTGAGAAGTGTGTTGTGTGCTGTGGGCACTATTAGAACAATGCATTTTTGTAGTAAAACTAACTTTAACTTTCATTGTATCATTTAGCTTTTAGTTTGGATGCTGAGCAGCCAGATTATGACTTGGATTCAGAAGATGAGATCTTTGTGAATAAGTTGAAGAAAAGAATGGACATCTCTCCTTTGCAATTTGAGGAGATGATAGACAGACTAGAAAAGGGCAGCGGTCAGCAGGTACAACGGTACTTTGAATAAAGAATTTGAAATACGTGCTCTCTATTACTGTATGAAAGTGACATGCTGGGTTTTACATTTAGCCAGTCAGCCTGCAAGAGGCCAAGCTGTTGCTGAAGGAAGATGATGAATTGATCAGAGAAGTATACGAGTACTGGATTAAAAAGAGGAAAAATTGTCGAGGTCCTTCACTTATTCCAGCAGTGAAGCAGGAAAAACGAGATGGCTCCAGCACAAATGACCCTTACGTTGCTTTTAGAAGACGAACGGAAAAAATGCAGACACGAAAAGTAAGTGTATCAGTGCCTCCCTCAGCTTTTCTTTCTTTTAATTCTCCCTCTTTCCAGAAGTTGCTTGTTTAAAGAAAAAATTTACAACATCATAAAAAAATTGAATGTTCTGTTTTTAATTTGCAAGGGCAAAAAACATAAAACAGTTTTAGTCGCACTATTGAATGAAAGTTTATATTCACTTTTTCACTAAATTTACTCTTAAACCCACATAGGGTGTTGGCAAGCTGTGTATCATTGATAACACGCACATGCTTCTCTTCGGTTTAGCATGTGACTTTTTTTTTAGCATACCTAAATATTTATAGCTTACTTTAATTCAGATTATTTAACTTGAATGATGTGGGGAAACACATGTTTTATGTATCTGCAGAATCGGAAAAATGATGAAGCTTCTTATGAGAAGATGCTGAAGCTGCGTCGAGATCTGAGTCGTGCAGTAACCATCCTGGAGATGATAAAAAGGAGGGAAAAAAGCAAGAGAGAGTTGCTGCATTTAACACTGGAAATTATGGAAAAGAGGTAATGTTTATTGAAAATTTGCTGCAGAAAGCTTTGGAAACTACTTTATATTTGGGTTGCTGCAAATATTTCAACAGTGAGAGATTTTTAAAATAAGTTCAGACTCTGTTTCACATTACAGGGTAGCATATTCATATTTGCCTATGGAGAAAAAATGAAACATTAGGAAGTTGCTTATTAAGGGAGGGTTGTTGTCATATTAAGCTACATTGTTTTATTGTGTGTGTAGATATTTTCAAACTTAGGTATCTACTCTGTATATTATTCCAGAAGAGAGATCATAGTTTCAGACAAAGTAATTTGAAATTGTGTTTTAAGTATGTAGATTATGGAAATCCCAGCTATTTTTAAGGCCCGTTTCAATCAATACCATTCTTCTTTGATTTAATGATCTCTATTCTTTGCAAAAAAGCTTGATCTAGTACCCTCTTGAGGAAAACAAGCATTTCATGCAGCATTAAATGTGAGAGTCATCTCCAGCTAGTGCTTCTTGTGCCATCCTGTTGACTGTGTTTTGGGCCAAATGCTCTGCCAAGTGTCACTTTCCCAGCTGACTGAGGATCATAGTTGTAGTGTGGAGTTGTCCTTTAAGTTGATACTTAGAATCTGAATAGTCTTTTCTAGCCTAAGTGTCCATGGTAGAAAGCAAATGTTTCAAGTCAGTACCTTAAAACTGCAGAACTGACTTCATAATCTGGGTTTTTAGGGAGACAAGCTGAATTGGCTCTATCGGGGCACTTCTTTTAAGCCCTGAGCATTTTCAGCAGAAACAGAGGGGAGAGAAATCAGGAAGATTTTTCCAGTTGCTTTTTGAAGGAAATAAGCTATTGAATAGAGGAAAGACTCAAATCCCTCCCTTGGAATAGAGAACTGTATTTCAACTTAGCATTTCTCACAGGACTTGAAATGTAATGTTTCATGGATCTGCTTATTGAAAGTACTCTGTAACACAAAAGAAGGAGGGTTCATGAATAAGGCATTCTGTTTCACTGTTAAAACTTCTTGAGTGATAAATTCTTTAAATGGTACCAGTCCCCAAGGAAAAGGGGTGGGTAACCCTCTCCTTTTCTTTACAGTATTACCTTTTGGAGATGCTTTACAGAGTAGTTGTCCTTTTTTATCTTGTCAGCATTATTCACTGCAATGAATTTTCTGTGTTACTCATCTCCTCTGGAATAATACTTTTTGCACTTATTGCTGTTATACTGGACATTCCTTTTATCCCAAGTTGCAAGTATTAATTTGTTTTTCTCAATTTTTTACCAGATGGATATTGTACTCCAACAAATAAAATTTATTCTGATTTCAGGTATAATTTGGGTGACTACAGTGGAGAGATCATGTCTGAAGTCATGGCACAGCGGCAGCCGCTGAAACCCACCTATGCTATTCCCATTATTCCTGTGACTAACAGCAGTTCTTTTAAACACCAAGAAGCTATGGAACTGAAAGAATATAAAGTTAAAGTAAGTCACGTCATAACAGAGTTACTGTTCATGCTGTGAAGTATACAGAATACACCATTTTAGGGTTGGAGGAGGGAGGAAGCTTTTTGGAACTGGCAATAGGGAAGCAAAGCTGCAAGTGAAATAAAATGGCTTTGTTCTGTTGGAGTTTCAAGGATAACAAATTAGCAGCATTTCTCAACATAGAAATAAAGGTAGTACAGACAAACTACAGATAAAAGGACACATGCAATTGTGTTCTTATTCAGGAGGATGGAAACATTTTTCTTTACTACTGTCCATAAAACTGGGATGTCCTGAGCAAAACTGTATTTATTATCATTAGGCATTGTATGAAGATAGAACTAAAGATGTGAATACCATGTATTGTTCTAAGCTATGTAGTTAGTTTAATACAGAGGGTTAGGGTTTGTTTTGTTTCTGAAATATGATGTTTCTGAAATATGATAATTCTCCCCCTGCTGTATTTCTTTGGTTTAACATTTAAGTGAAGTATCAAATCTTATTTGATTTAGACAGCTGACAAGTACTTTTCTCCCTGCAGGCTTTAATTTTGTGTCATACAAACCATAGCTACAGTGCGAACAACTCAGCATGTTAAATAGGTCAGGTGACACAGGATAAAGGCTGAGGTGTAATTTGAATTTTAAAACAAGGCAGCTTGTAACTAAAGAATATTCAGAGGCTGTTCTGAATTTGGCAAGGTGGCTTTAATCAGTAAATTCTTCCACTAGTAGTAAAGCATTGTCCTTGTGATTGCTGGTGTGTACTTGCTTATTAGTGATGTTGGATCAGTGCAGTGTCTCACAGCTGGCAAACTTGGGAAATACTCTTAAACTTGACTTTGCATAGTATGGGGAAACGTGTTTAATTTTTAGAGATTTTTTGCAAGATTATAGGTATCTTTGACAAGTCTATTTCTGCCTAAGTACCATTGCATGGTACTTAGTAATACCCTGACACTGCATAAATGGCTGTCAATTAAAAATGCTAGGAAATAAAAAAGGTGCCCCGTAGATATCATGATACATATTTTGGTCTCCTTCTCCAAAGTGGTACTATTACCTTAACTGCTAGTGAGTTACCTACCACAGATTGAGCAAACAGTGCTTGATTCCATGTTGTCTGTTCAGTGTTTCAGTTACTGGAAATGAAATTCAGACACTCTGAAGTGACTGCATGTTTTATTGGGAACATGGTAGAGAGATGAGTTCATGTCATTCGCTTGCTTATACAGGAGTTTACTTAAACTACTGTTTTAATGTAATTTTCTTCTATGTGTAATTTTACACTGCTTTTATTTTTCTTGCAGCAAGATAAACCTGATGTTATTAGACCCAAAAGAAAGTATGAGAAGAAGCCAAAAGTCTTACCTTCGTCCGCTGCTGCTACTCCTCAACAGACAAGTCCTGCTGCACTGCCAGTCTTTAATGCTAAAGATCTGAATCAGTATGATTTTCCGAGCTCAGATGATGAACCTCTTTCCCAGGTAGGACCTCTAGTGTTTTGTGCTGCTCTTTGGGAAAGAGCAGAAGTAAAACTCAGGGATTTTCTAATACCTTTCCTCATACACCACTCTCACCCCACCCCCTCTTCAAAGGTTTTGTCTGGTTCTTCGGAGGCTGAGGAAGAAAATGATCCCGATGGTCCTTTCGCCTTCCGTAGGAAAGCAGGCTGTCAGTACTATGCTGTAAGTAGAATTTCCTTGTGCATTGTAAGACAGAGTGTCACTGTGTGAAAACATCCCGTGTTTAATTGTTTAAAATTATTTTAAGCCTCATTTAGACCAACCTGGCAACTGGCCGTGGAGTAGCCCTAAGGAGGGAAGATTAGGAGATGTGCGTTACAGATACTGCTTAACCACCCTCACTGTCCCCCAGAGGTGTATTGGGTTTGCACGGAGACGGGTTGGCCGTGGTGGAAGGTAAGTGCTGTGTAATTGTTGCTGTTGCTAAAAAGAAAATTAAATCAGTAAGATGCAAAGAAGAAAAAGTCTAAAAAAACCCCAAAAATTAAACAATTGGAGACATCACAGAGAGATTAGCTTGCTAACATTTCCATTTTTGTTTTTCACTAGTGGAAGCTGTTTTAGTAGTGTTTTCTTAAATATTTCTTGGGGTTTTCTATTGCTTGCACTCCCATTTTTGGCATGAAAATGCATGTATATCTTCAGTTGTGATTGGTTTGTTTTTAAATTGTTTGCATAGCTATCCTCAAATAGTAGCATTTCAAGATACCAAAAATAGTATTTTGCAAAAAATGCTTTTCAGAGTTTAGACAGTATTGGATTATTTTGAGAGAGATGCTTAGAAATTATAATAACTGTTAAATTTCAAACATTGTGAAAAATATCAAATAGTTACCTATTTCGGGCATTTTGCTTTTAACAATCTTTACTGAAAACAATTTACAAATGGTTGAGTGTGTAAGTATATCATGTCTTTAAGAAAATAGTACATTTGTATTAAATTTTTATTAAAAGTAAGCATGTGATTTGCACTTCAAATTTATGCTTAGCACCTCTTCACATATTATTAGTAAGCCAGCTTGGCCAATCAGCAAAGTTGGAATGAGATCAGATGGCTCTTACTGGGGTTTCCAAGGGGATTTGGATGTTAACATGTAATATCCCTACTGTTTTGGGATGGTTGTAGGTATAGTTAGTATATATGAGAGTAAGGCTTTGGAAATGAAGTTACTTTAGGAGGACATATTAATCACTTTTTACTTAAGCAGTGTTATTCTCTAGGTCTCTTTGTTTTAATTCTGTGTTGTTGAAGTGTCCTTAATAAAAATGTGATGATGTACTTCAGCTTTTCTTCAGACAGTAGAAGCTAGAATATACCTAAATAAATACCTAAATACTTACTGTGAAGTAATAAGTGGTCATGCATTGTGTCAGGGGAGTGCATATGTGTGTGTTGGCTTATTCTAGAATACTTTTGTGTAGCTTTTATCCTTTAATCATCCACAAACACTCATGTCAAACTGATGACTTCCTTGGTGTTTCCTTGCTGCTGTTTAATTGTGCTTTATTCTGGTTTTAGGGTGCTACTAGACAGAGCGCATTCGGACTACGATAGTGCATTTCATCACCTGGATTTGGAAAGCTTTTCCTCATCACAACACTCTTCAATCAGTCAATTTGCCAATACCTCAGAAACAAATACCTCGGACAAATCTTTCTCAAAAGACCTCAGTCAGATACTAGTCAATATCAAATCATGTAGATGGCGGCATTTTAGGCCTCGGACACCATCCCTACATGACAGTGACAATGACGAACTCTCCTGTAGGAAATTATACAGGGGTTTAAATCGAACAGGCACAGCACAACCCGGGACCCAGACATGCAGTACCTCTATACAAAGTAAAAGTAGCAGTGGTTCAGCACATATTGGTATGTCTATTTTAACAAACTTGCTTCTAGAAGTTTTAAACTTATGTCAGAAAATCCAGAATATCATTAGGTCATCCATATTTTACATTGTGGTCTATTTTGATGGTTACAGCCTATCTTCAAGTGTGTCTCTTTTTGCTACACTGAATTTATTTTCATTTTTTGCTAACAGTAGTGTACTGCATCTGAGATTTATACAAATGCTACAGTGGTATGTAATTACAATTGTCGAAACATAAAAGTTGAAACAACAGTATTGTATAGGGTTTAAGTTCACTGAATATTTGGATTTTTTGAAATTAAAAATACATTAATTGAAATGTTAATATAAATATTATGTACCAAATTTTTTCTAGTACAAGGTCTGGCAGTGATGGGAAATGTTTAGGTAAAATGTTTCATTTAGAGTCCCAGCATGCTATGAGTTCTTACTTGAACTTAAATGAACTTTAATGCCATTTCCCAGCCAAGAAGTATCTAGCCCACCCTCACTGCTACATCTGCTTATGCTTAGCAAAACTCTTGGACTAATCACCTCTACATCTTGTCAGCAAGTGGCAGATTACATCTTATAGAACCTAATTACAGATTTGAGGATCTGACTCTGAAAAAATGTGATGTGTTAGTGGTTTTTAATTGGAGCACTATTGGATAGCATCACTCTTACTTCTTCTCACTGGAAGAGTGGTATTTACGTGGTTAGAATGGAACTTAGCAACTCATCAAAATTCATGAGTTACTTACTGTAAATGTCATCTTTTTATAGAAGGTTAAAATAACGTCATTTTTTATATAAAACAATCTTAGAAGTTCACCAGGGTTTTGTAAGGAGTATCTAGAATCATATTTTCCTTGCCATTTTGAATTATGGCTTTGGAAATCAATCAGAAAACCTGGATAATGTAGGAGTGTGGCGAGCAGAGCTGCATATACCTAATAAACTACGTAAGTTGTGGGTTGTTTTGTGATTTGCTTCAAAGACTGTTACACTGGTTATCAGATAACTTTATCTTCTGTATGCCACTATATTATATACCTTCCCTCCTGTATCATGTTTTGAGGCTTTTTCCTGAAAATTCTTTCTCCTTGCATTTGTAGAGTTAGTGAGCAACAGTTGTTTGCTGCTTTTTGTTAGTGAGCAGCAGTTGTTTGCTGCTTTATTTCATGCCTTCTCTCCATGCTGTCCTAGAAGTAGGTCCTTGCCCCCATGCCCCTTTCTTCTTTCATGATTCTTCTTGCTGGAAATGTACTAGGGCTAAAACTGATGGTTCTTATGGTTTGGGATCTTAGTGTGGCTTTTGGTGTTTAAATTCTGCTCTTTCACTGGCTTGAATCAGTAAAACAAGTCCAGAAGCCAGTGAGGGCATTCTCTGCCTGGTGGTCAGGCTGAACTGTGATAAATGGTAGCCAGATGAGGAGAGTGAAAACAAAACTAATGTGTGTTGAATAGACTGTAAATACACTGCAAGGTATTCATGGACAGTGCTTTACATTTGAAAGTCAAGTAGACTTGAAAAATCAGCTGAAGGAGTTTAAAGTTCATGTCTCTGTGTGTGTCTGTATAAATAAACACACACACATCCTTTTAGAGTGTTTTTTCCCTGAAATAGATGGTAAGGATATTGATCTACATCATTTAGGAATTAAATAGAATTATTTATAGTGATGAGTCCCATAGAAGGTTTTAATTGTGTGGTTGCATATTGAAGCCTGTGGGAAAATAATACATACTAGTGTAAGTACCTGGTGTAATACATTCATTTCTGCTTGGAATTCTGTGAAAAATATTGAAGTATTCCAAGCTTTTTAAAATACAAATGTGGAGTTTAGTTTCATAATTTTGCTAGGATTTCATACAGAAATTGAATGTTCAATAAAAAAATACAGCTGTCTGAATTTATAGGTATACTTTAAATTGGTTACCAGAGTCTTTGGATAGTCACTTATTATTAACATAACCAGATAGATTATATCCATATAATTATTTATAATCTTAATTGTGATTCTTGTGGCATTGGAGTGTATATAAGTCTGTGTGTGTGTGGTTTACTGTTGATCACCTGTTCAGGTGTAAATGTTGGTAAGGAGAATAATCTGCTCTATCTTGGTACCAGTGTGGTTTCCTGGTTTTTTGGTTTTTTTTTTCCATTTTCTAAAAGGATTCTGTGAGATACATTGTCTGTACAGATCACAGGCATGTTCAAATGTCTCATGTCTGAGTCTGACTTCTTCAGAGCTGCCTGTCAGTGGGGCTGCAGCTGCTGAGTTCTGGGATTGTTCTTTCTGTAGCCAATCCTGTAAAGAGCCTCGGGTATCTAACAGCCCTACTGACGTTTTTGTAGTAGTTACTATTGCAGCTTAACAACCCTGTAGGGTTTCCCTGTTGCTTTTTCTTAGTTGTTTTTGAAGCTGGGAGTTTGTGGGTGTGGATGTTTTAGGTTTGTTTCTCTTTGCCTTTTAGGTTTTTGAAGTGGCAATTGGTCTTTTGTCAGAAAACACTTATACATCTGTATTTTTAAGTCATATTATCCTTTCACTGCTACTGTAAGTTGTGCTCAAACTGTATTACTTACTTGTAAGATGTTCATCCTGGGATTCTGTAGTGACCAACAGAGGTGGTCATGTTGCTTATGTTAATTATGAGCCATCACATGAGTGGTTTTTGTTTCCCTACTAAGAAAGTCTTGAGCTTTTTCTGCTGTGCATGATGCAGACATGCTGCTGACATGGAAAATACCTTCCTTGGGTTTGTTATACGTGGCAGCAGGGCCATGAGGTTAAGATGGTATCTCAGGTCTCTGTTAATGAGAGGATATGTTACAAAAGCTGTGCTGTAACATACCATTCTCTGGCTACAGGGAGCCTTGATTTTCATCCTGAAGATCAGAGAGAGGTTTTCCCAGAGCTGGGCATTTTGTAAATATTTTGAAGTGCCTTTGATCCTGAAGAAATGTAATTTATTCTGATTCTGGGTTTCAGAGTACTCAGTATTAAAGATTTGTGGAAGTTGGTGCATGAGATTTTGTGTGTAAACTGAGAAGGGCTGTCAAAAGCCCTTACAGGTTGCCTGAACACTTGTGGTGTGCTGAAGGCTAGACTTTGGCAGCAGGAGCAAATGGCCAAGTAGCATCACTTGTGTAGAGGGTAGTTCCTTCTGATCTTACTTATGAAAAAGTATCCTTTGCCCTCATGTGAGAAGAGCTGATTAAAAGGTCTTAACACATGTTATTCAGAACGCCACTAAAAAGGAAGCAAGAACATTAAAGCATTATTTTTGTGGATAATTAACTTGTTTAGCAGCAGAATTACTTCAGTAAAGGAGCCTGTAATGCTGGCAGTGTCAGGTTTCTCAGTCATAATCCTCAGAGATGGAGTGTACAGTAGGTATGAGTATTGAGCTGAAGTGTTTGTGGCCCCTGGTGGTTGATTTGGTTCTGCCAGGCAAATAGCAGTCTCTGACCTCCATCACTTAAGAAACTGCTCTCTGCTGGAACATACCACTTTCTATTAAATATGCTGCATTCACATTTTTGCATGCTTGGATCTCATAAACAAAAGTTAGAGACACTGAAGGCTGCACACATGTATCATTCCATTTCAGCCTTGTGTTTAGGAAGCAGAGCAGAGATACCTGTCAGTAGTGAAATACTGGAGCACTGGTTCCCAGGCTCTGCTAAGAGCAGGCAGCAGTCTTGCATTCTGTTCCTTTCTGCCTTCTTCACCCAGAAGCTGATCACTTTGAAAACAGTGTCTGAAAGCTGGCAGGGCTAAAGAGGCTGACAGTTGACTGGAGCCTGCTCAACTGAGTTGAGAAATCACTCTTTGAGAAGAAGCCTTACTGAAAACTGTTACGTTTTGTGTTTGGGATTGTATGTATAAAATATACATACTATATATGAAAAGCTGTGGGTGTCCAGAATACAGTCAAATGCCTTGCATTTTCTTGTAAACTAGACATTTAGATGATGTGATGCAAATTGTGCATTGCTGTTCAGTAACTTCTACTGTGGGAGTTCCATAGAGATAACATTTTCCCCAGTAAACTTGCATGCTTTTTTTGGACCTCTTAATCTGCTTTTTAAAAGCAGTTTTGCATGCTTGGGGATCTAGGCGGGTAGTGAGCTGTGCTTCCATTTCCCAAATATGAAATGTTGGCTGATGGATCTGTAATTGTTCAGCCTGGAGAAGAGAACAGAAAGCTTTGGGATGACCTAGTTGGGACCTTCCAGTATCTGAAAGGAGCCTACAAGAAAGATGGAGAGGGACTTTTTACAAGAGCATGTAGTGATAGGGCAAGGGGTATTGATTAAAACTGAAAGAGAGTAAGTTTAGATTAGAAATTCTTTACTGTGAGGATGGTGAGGTACTGGAACAGGTTGCCCAGAGAAGTTGTGGAAGCCCCATCCCTGGAAGCGTTCAAGGCCAGGTTGGATGGGGCTTTGAACCTGCTCTAGGGGAAGGTGTCCTTCGCTATGGCAGAGGGTTTGGATCTAGATAATGATCTTTAAGGTCCCTTCCAACCCAAACCACTCTGTGATTCTATACTGTTTTTTCATGTTGACATTTTTTAGGTGTTATACCTGACGCCAGATTTTAGATAACCTTTTCCCAGAAAGAAACAGGAGAAAGCTTCTCAATCCTTGTGGCAATTCCTTGTAGCAATGTAGAAGGACTTGTCCATGGCTTTCATGCCATCACTGGCTGTGTTTAGATGTTTTTATTTAACCCTTGTATCTGTAGTATTCTCAACACTGCTCTGTGTTACTGTTTTCCCTTTTTTGAAATGCTTCTTTCACATTACAGGATAAACTTGGTGATGAAAAATACTGAAATTTGTAATGGCCACTTCCAGTTATCTTTGGAATTTAATAGTCTTGGCCCATCTGTGGCTGAGCTAGTTGAAAAGCAATGGCCTCAAGAGTAACAAGTGTTTACTGTAGCCCATCCTAAACTTAGTTGAAGGAGGAAATACTAAAAAGCTTCTTTAGTCTGGGAAATGTGACTGTGGATGCAGAAGAGTTGGTACTTTTTAAAACACCTGAGCACTTCCAGAGGCTTCAAGACTTTGTGGTCTTACTAGATCTTCTCATTCCCTTTCAATTCAGTTGGAGTAAAACTTTGCTCCAAAGTTGAAGATCTCTGGGCCTGTGGAGCTGTTACACGTTGCATCCCATGCAAGGATGGTCACATTTGTAACTGCAGTAAACTGTGTGTACCCTAACTAGCATGTGACATTTTGGTGGAAACTCATTTTAAGAAATGAGCAGACCAATAAAAGTGCATAGGAAGCTTTCTAGCTTTCATTCAATGGCTAGTAAAAAAATCTTTATTAATTGTTTTCTGTCTGTCGTCTGCTACCAAGTAGGGAGTGCATACGTAGACATTATATCTAGTTGATAATTTCTCCAGTTCTGATGTTAGGAGTTTCACACTTCAGTTCTGTTGGGCTGAAATAAAAAGCTGTTGTAGTAGTAATCAAGGGCATAATGATTCGTGTTCTCATAGTGTGCAATAATGCCATGTTTAAGTAAAACCCATCTTGAACTTCTTTTCAGAAAGTGAAACATCTTTGGGTCTGGTGCATCAAATACTTAATCACACTGATGGCTCTAAGTCTCTCCAATCTTCTGAATTCACTGGTGAGAATTTGCTATACAGTAGAAAATCTTTAACCAGGCAGTGTAAGCCAGATAACATCTCACATAAGATAGAGATTTAAAAATGTGATGTTCTGGATTACTTAGCTTTGTGATTGATGATTGCTTTGCATGCACTTTGGCATTAGTAACCACTAACTGGTGTCTTATACAGCAGGGATGTGATGCTCTCATATATTTCCCTTAGGAAGACATTGTAACATGATATATCATCTTTCCACACACTTCAGCAGTTCTCTATTGAATTTCTGAAAAAGTTTGGAAGCTTTAGTTAGTGAACTTTCTTCTGATCAAAACTGCCTTTTTAATGGTTATCACCTCCACTGGAAGGATCATGGAATCTAGTACTCTATAAATGGATTAGAGAAGTTCTTTAAACCTAATGTAGTCTTCATGTTTCAGTTTTCTCACTGAAATATCATTTCTGCTCTTGAGAACAGATACTTGTTATGAAACAGCTCTTAAGCTACTGTCATTTAAGTATCTAATTCTTAAGATGTTTAGCAGGACTGAAACATTTGCCAAAAGGTTTAATTATGCTGTTGAGTCTCTCAGTATTAACATTTTTAAAAACTTTATTACAGAAGAAAAAAGCTTACCTGGCTAGGTCATTGTTTACTCCACAAAGCTTGCTCAGTTTGCCTGGCAAATCTAGTGAGCATCTTCCATTCCAGAAATGGAAAGGAATGTCCGTAGAGGGAGCAGGAGGTTGCATATGGATTTTCTGCTTTCTAGGGTATACTCCCTGTTTGGTTTTTTTTTTAGGAAACTGGTTATTGTTGTCAACTTAAAAAGAGTCTGTATTTTCCTTCTTGAGGGAAGCAAAGTAACAAGTGAGTGACCTCCCAGTAAAACTTGCAGCAGTAGTTGGGAGCAGAAGCTGTGGCTGTTGATTGTACAAAGGCCCATCTGTTCATACAGATGGCACAGCCAGCCCCCCACAGACACTCACTTGTCACTGGTTTTGGCCACTTCTGGAAAGAACTTGACTTTTCAGAGAAGCTTAAATGTAAGCTACAGTATTGTAAGGCTAGGACATGTGAAATGCTGTAGTACAATCAGTGAGCACTGTTAGAATATTTATATTGCAGTGTAAAACTGCAAACTATGGATCTTCAGAAAGTCCATTGACAGTATCACTGTTACTCTGTGCTCTGAAAAGCAGTACCTGCTGGGTATCACCATCCCATAGAATTTGGCTGATATGTAAACAGAATCATGCCATTTGAAAATGATATTCAGTGGCTTAGTTCAAGCAAAAAATAGATATGTCATTATTCCAAAGAGTACAAATACTCATAGAAGTGATTGTAGAAAAGCATATTCATAGTGCAGTGTGCAATAGCTCAGGGTTTTTTTAATAAAACTGGATTTGTAGCTGTCACTAAGGAGATACTGAGTCATTTATCCTGTCAGTCAGTATCAGTAATGTACAGGATTTCATTCCTTGTACTCAAAGCTGAAAACTCCTCTAAGTTTTTTCTTCTACCTTCCATTACTTTTCTGGTCTGTAAGCCCAAAAACATTTCCTTGCTGCCAAAGTACAGCACCAATACAGTTTATAATATTTGTGTGTGTGTTGTCCCAAGCTGTTAAATGAAGAGGAAAACAGCATAACATCATGTACTGACTTCAAATCTGAAGGCTGTCTCAGCTGAGGTGTTAACACTTGATACAGTGTGCTGCAAACAAACAAGAAGCATTTTGTAGCTAAGTCTCTTGGTAAAGAGTTGCCCATCTTCTGGTAACCATCTTGAGATGTGTATAATTTCAGGCAGAGTTGTGCTTAAAGGTTCCTCATGTTTAAGGTTAGAAGAGGATTTGGGCTAGGTTAACTTAAGAATCAAGTGGCTTGCATAAATTACTGAAGGTGTCTTGGAAAGTATGTAGAAGTTTTGTGGGAAGATACAGCTGTTGGCTGTGAAAGACAGTTAAGAGATTCTGAAATGGTTGTATTCTTATTTATTGTGTATTAGTAGTGATGGTTGAGATTTCCCCCTTTACACATAGTAGTGTAGTGATTCTGTATAGTGGATGAAACTGGTGTTTCATCACTGTTTAACTTTGTAAATCCTGCACTATTAAATAGTCATTACTGTGTGATGGAACCATGACCACTGAGGTTGGAGCATGCTGTTTGAGAAGAGTCTGTAAGCACTGCATCCTTGTTTGGGGCTGCTGAAGCAAGGGCCTGTCTTAAAATCTCACGTGTCATCTTTAAACCTTGTTTTGTTTTATCCCCTTTTTAAACTTCGAGCTGTTATGTGGCTTTCTGTTGCTTTACTAATGTTATTTAAAGCCTTGAAGGTCTCCAGTAATGTCAGTAATCTGTAACTTTGTGTAGTGTAGCAATACTCTCCTGAGTTACCAGAAAGGTGGTTACTGATTTAAGTGTTCAGAAAAGGTCTGGGCTTGCTGCTTGCCTGCTCATTTTTTTCCAGGCAGATAAAGAGAAGTGTATGACAAAAAGACATTGACATTGATTTTTTTACTTCTTCTATATGTGCCATTTTTCCTTTTGACACACATGAAAGGACACAGCTGAAAACCTTTCTCTTTTTTATAACAAAAATGAGAAGAGAGAATAAAGGTTTTGGAAGAAGCTTTTTAGGGATACTCACTGGTTTTTTTTTAGATGAACTGATGTTAGCAAGAAACTTGAGTTTGGCACTCATTCAGTTGCATCGATGCTACATTGCAGGCAGGCAGAAAGTATTCCTGCAAGCCACATAACACATAAATAGCATGTTTTTGTGCAGCAACACATTCTGTTTGAATTGATTCTTTAAAAAAAAGACAGCTGAACTTAGACTTGTTCTTTGAGAAGCTCAGGCTTGTACCTGTAGATGTAGAGGTACAGTCAGTACACCTGTGACTTCACTGTCCTGAGCATATGTGATTTCCCCAATTCCAGTCACACTTGGGTGCCACAGGAAATTAATATATAAGGTTAAATAGGTGAAAGTACTTTCATGTAAAGTACATACAAATGGGTTTTTACCCATAGGAAAAACTGCCATTCCATGCATAGGAATGGCAGTTTTCAGAAGCAACTTATATCTCACAATCAATATGTTTATTTTTTTCAACTGAAATGTAATGTGGAATGTAGACTGAGAGTAGGAGGGGGAGAAACCCAGTGGTAGTGTAAACAAAATACATGATGGCTTTTAACAGAAGAAGAATAAAGTAATGCCATCCTAGTTTGCAGGTCTTCAGAAGAAATTTTGATAGTTCACAGCAGTAGCAATGTTCTCATTAAAACCTTCAGTGTAGTGTTTCTTTAGCATGGAGAGGGAAGACCTGGTTTATGTAATAGCAATCTATAAGCTGTTCTGGTACATTAGGATCTCTGTCTATGGAATGGAAAAGGAATATCAATCAGATTATTTTAGGAGGCTGCAGATTGCAGCAGCCCTTTTTCAGCAGTATTGCCTTTCTTAACCCGATGCAGCTGATTCAGAATTTCATAGTAAACCACTGATAGTGTTTTAAATAATACTTTGAAATGTCTGTTAGACTTTTATTTTTAATAAAGGAAGCAGCAAAAACGTTGCTGAATGTCTAACCTAAATTGAAAAAACTGAAATTAGTTGTTCTTGAGTGTATTTTCCAGGTGCTGTTTTTAAATGGAGGAGGAGCAGTTGGAATATAGATGAGGGTGATGGTGGTAGTGGGATTCTTCTGTCACTTGTTTTCCTTGACAGCTGTACAACTTTCTAGAGTGGTGAGAAGCATACAGCTCTAAGGGTCCCAGCCTGTTAAAGAGAAAATAACTGATGTACAATTTCAAAAATACAGCTTTTTCAAAATGTCACTTCTGAAAGAATAGAGTGCTTCCAGACATTATTTAGCATAGTCTTTCCTAAACAAACACAGCTCATCTCTATAGGCTTCATTTGCTGCTGTTGCAAGAGAAAGCAGTATTTTGAAGGTGGTTAAAGCAACACAGGTGACTGTGTTTACCTCATCTCTGTTTTATAGCTAGAATCTTAAACATACTTAGGACTGAAAACTGAAATGAACTACTAATTTCACTTAAATAGGCACGAGTAAGGTGATTATGATGGTGGAAGTTTTAATCATAGTTCAAAATGGTGGTACAGCATATCCTTTTTTGCCCTTTTCTTCTTTGTCATTCTGTGGGTTGTCTTTGTTTACATCATGTAAGCAGCATTTACAATGCTATACTACAGAATAAAATACCTTGGTTCATAGAATCTACTGAGTTGGAAGGGACACATCAGTATCATCAAGTCCAACTCCTGTCCCTGCACAGGACACCCTGATAAATCCTACCATAAGTAAATAAATGGAACCTTCAATGTCACTGGCACTATGTTGGCTAAATGTATGTTGATTCTATATTTTAGGGTTTGAAAACACAATATATATCTCTCAGTACCAGAACATTTTCCTCCCTCTCTTACTGCTGCTCAGCTTTCTACCTGTTAATCTTTGTGTGCTAAAGCTTTCTTGCTCTAACTTGTGTTGGATGGCAGCTTAAAAAAATCTAAAGGACTTGTAAATTTTATTTTTTGTTAAAATTAAACGGTCATCTCCTTGAGTATTTGGTCAGTAAATAGTTTGTTTGGTTTGGGTTGTTTTTTTTTAAGGACATTTATGAGTGAGGTTGCTACCTTTAAGATATTCTCCTAGGAATAATTTTAAAATATTGCAGTGTTACTTAACTGTAGAAGTAATTGTAAGTAATTTGTTGCTTGTGGCAATATAAATAAGTACGGCATCCTTACTTGCTCAAAGATGTTACTTACAAGAAAAGGTAATGTGAATGTAACAGCTGAGTAAAATTTTATAGCTTCAAGTGTCCAAATAGGAAACTGCTGGTCATAATTTCAGTGCAATTTCTAGTACTTACTTGAAGTAGTTTGAACAATATTTGAACACCAGAAAAATGCATGCTCAGCAGTGTGTGCTCTGATGTTTCCAAGTATTGCAGCCATTTATACTGACTTGTTATTCAAGTTTAAAATCCTGGTCTTCAGAATCCAGTTGTATCCAGAAGCAGGACGTTGTTATGGTTTTGATGTAAACGTGTTTTCTTCCGGCAAGCAAGCCTGAAGGAGTAGATTAACAAAAGATTCTTAAAAATTTCAATTTGTGAACAGGACTTAAGTGTGATAGTGATTTGTTGCCAAGCAGTAGTGAGCTTCCCCAAAAATGTGACTTCCAGTGCATTCTTGAAGTATGAGTACTCTTTAGAGCACATGTTTGGGAACATTTGTACAATCTGATTATAAAATTGAAGGAAAATCTGAAAAGTGTATCTTTTGCAGGGGCATTCAAACTCTAACCTTGATTCAGTTTGTAAATTGAAAACTGAGACTTCATTTTGTTTTGGAAAAGGAAACTAAAACAAAAAATGCTTGCACTGAAGTTAGTCAATGATTGTGCTGCACCATTGGGCATCCCCTTGTCAATCTGTACGAATTATGCTTTGTCAGTTTTATACCTGTGGGTTAAAAGGATAAAATTCTGCCTGACTTGTGATGCACTGACTGCTGAGTCACCTTTCAAAGATTTTAGAGAAAAGGGTATAGTTCTGTGAAATTCAGTATTGATGGAGTTACTTGTACATGTGCAGCTATGAACAAAAAGGGTGCTGTGCAGCAATAGCCTGCCCAGCTGTTAGCATGCCCAACTTGATGTTTTCAATTGGAACATAAATCTTAGTTGTAGCCCCTTGCTGCCTTCAGAATGCTGTCGGTGAGGGGTGCATTGCAGTTGCCAAGTTTGGCATATAAACCTATTTCACTAATAATGCCAATACTGTAGTTTCACAAGGTGAAAACAGTGATGCTATTTCTACCTAATCATTCTTTTTAATCTGTTTTTAGAGTTTTTGGTGGGGCCGATTGCATTTTGGTTCCTTTCTCCCTCTCTTTTTTACTATTGTGAGCTAAACTCAGTTAAAGCCTGTATATTGAATAAACAAAAAGAGAGGCTGTTTGGACAAAAATTCCTAGGAAGATGTCAGCCTTTTTGACATAAAGGTGCATTAAGGCTCTTAGGAACTTGTTGTGGTAGTTTTTGGGGGTGGGGGTCTAGGTTTATAAAGTAGATGTGTTTATATACACAATTCCTACATATTTTGATACAGTATTTTCTCGTTTTTTATATTTTGTTCAGCATTTACAGCCGAACAATACCAGCAACATCAACAGCAACTGGCACTAATGCAGAAACAGCAGCTTGCACAAATTCATCAACAGCAAGCAAATAGTAATTCCTCTGCCAACACATCACAGGTGAGGGATTTGTCTGTGCTATGATTTATCCCTCATTGTTTCCCACCAGGGTTCATCTCTAATTGTCAACTGTTGCCATAGAACCTTGAAACTAACCAACAGGAAAG